TCGGATCTTACAGGTGCCGCTATTTGGTTGTGTTGCGTGGTAGACATGCGTTCGAGGTAAGCCTCATCTCCGGATTACTCAGGGGACCACGTGTCGGTAGAACTTTTCTGTCTCTACCAGACCATCTAGCTTGTTACTATGGGACAAGAAAAGCGACGCGGCACAAGGAAACGGTGAAGAACAAAATAAATCTTCGGAATCACAAGTTATTCTCGAAAACTTCGAAGAGATCAAATTGAAATGAAAATGTCTGAAAGCAAATTTTCACAATAATCATGAAATCTGATTAATGCGCGTTGTTGGGTATAGAGTGGAAGATGATATCTAATAGTTAGGTTACACCTCTTTCTTTTGGAGCTTGCAAAGCATTACAATGGTGTAACTACCTCAAGCCCTTGTATAGTGCCCTGGACTAATATGCGCCCAGGCCAACGAAGCCTTCCACACCTCGGGGGTCGGGTAATTGGTGCCAGACTCCCCTGGCACTATAAGAGCACTGACTTATTCATCGGCTGGCACCGCCATTCATTACACAGGCCAAATACTAATATAATACTCTCTACTCCACTATTCTGAATAGAACTCGAAGCGGGTGCATACCCGAGACCGGATCGGCCCCAAAGAAAAGTAACAACGAAGGTGGTCGTTTGGAAGGCGCAGTGCATAGGTCAGATTTAAGTTACTGGCGTTCGAAGCATCTAGCAAGGACTTGCAGCACAGTCGTTGGGGGCCACCTTCAACTCAGGTGATTGTTCGACATGAGAGGCTTTTTGATCTGCAGTAACGACGAGGAATTGGAGAAAGTTACAGGTCCTGTACCCCATTTCACCGCCGTTGTCATCACAAAAAAAATGAATAAGTATAGAAAACACCCAATAACAGGGAAGGTTGTATGGTTACTGAAGTGGAATGTGATACCCGACCGTACACAGCAGCTTCTGACCGAGTATGAGGACAATAACTCCGATCGCTAGGATATCGCCTGTACCATCTGTCGTCCCGTTAATGATCGACTACCTCGAGTGGGCGCGAGAATCGTCTTCATCCGTCCCTTTCGCGAGCCAAGGTGATCCAGTGGATCGTTGAGGACACGATGCACAGCACTCCTTTAGTAGGACTTTCTTGAAGAAGTCTGACCATCACGCTGGCGGTCGTACTGGTGTTCGTTTAATGTCCCGAAGGATCCAGCGTGTAACCGCCCTGGTCCAACGGTCAGCATGATCTGGTCACCTAATCTTCGATTTCTTGGCGCAATCAATGACATCCCTGATCTTCGTTCGTTGACGGAGCTCAAAACTCGGATTTCCTCTTGAAATTGCGTTAATACGGCACTTCCAAGCATCGCTAGGATATCTTCAATTAATATGTCCTGGGCGCCATCTGGCACGACCACCTCCAACCCATGCCAAATGACGCTCCATACCGCGCCGTTCCATGTGTGCAATTGCGACCAGTTTGGATTTTAATTGACGCCTATATTGCGGTTTTATCTGAAAAAGCGATATCGCTGCTAATTTAACATTCGTTCTAGTTATGCTAAGTTCTGCTTGGGATATATAGTTATGCTGTAACATCTTTATAGTGCCGGACGATATTTTGGATGTTTCACAGGTCCATAAGTCCCAACATGATGTAGATCGAAAATTTCCACAAATCCTAATCATTATTAATCATTATTCTTCTTTCATTTATGTTATCCTATGCTCCTTCGAGTTGCATGCAGTTGACTGAANTTGGGATATATAGTTATGCTGTAACATCTTTATAGTGCCGGACGATATTTTGGATGTTTCACAGGTCCATAAGTCCCAACATGATGTTGTCTATATGTAGATCGAAAATTTCCACAAATCCTAATCATTATTAATCACTATTCTTCTTTCATTTATGTTATCCTATGCTCCTTCGAGTTGCATGCAGTTGACTGAATTCGCAAAAGTTTTTGATTTTTTATTTCTCGTTAGCACGACTTTATCTCGACAGCTTATTTTTTGAAGATGTCTTTCCAATTTATTATACATCCACATGGTCCTTTTCAGATGTCCGGTTTCTCGGAGACGGCAATGCGGGAACGTCTAAGTAAACTTAGGCCCCAGCAGGACTGCATTAATACATTATCCCTGTGGTTAATGCATCACCATCGACATACCGACGATATTGTACAAATATGGCTGAAGGTTCGGACGATATTCTTATTTGATCATTACAAGTTACCTGTACTCTTTATTCTTATTTATAGGAAGTACGAAAAGAAACGAATTCAGCTCAAATTGTGAATTTAATTTACATTGCAAACGATGTGATTCAAAATAGTCGTAAAAAGAATCCTGAAATGGCAGTGAAGTTCTACACCGTCCTCGAGCCAGCGTTTCGGTGGGTCATCCACATTGTTTTCCATACTCATCGTTTTTTTTTTTTGAAAATCTGCACTCTCTATGGCTCTTCGCGCTCGAGACTCGCTTGAGTTGATGTTTAAAGTAGAAAAAGCCTTTCTAGAACTTCCTATATGTACAGTAGCGCTCAAAAGTATTCGCCAAAACGCTTTAACGCTTTTTCGTTCATAACTTTTTCCTTACTGGTGTAAATCGCGCGAGATCTTGATATGTTTAACTGAAGCATATTCCACACCCTTCAACCTTGTTTGACGGCAAAGCAACAATATCCACATAACTGAGAGCAGGGCGTTTTTTGCGGTAGCAGACTTGGCCTAAACAAATTTATGCCGGTTGCAGTTAATCGCACCTTAAGTGCGTTATTCTTCTCTACTGTGTTCGGCATTAGCGCTCATTTAAGACTTAAGACACTTAAGACATGGCAAAAAGGAAGCACTCCTAAAAGGACCAACGTCCCCATTTCCAGTTGAATTTTTGTTCAAGCCCTTTGGAATATCTGGAACTCGAACAGATTGCAAGTTAATAGTGGTGAATATTCACAATGCACCCATGCTTCACATATTGAAATTTCGCATGATTAGATTCAGCAGAAAAGAAGATACGACTGAACAGTACACACTTTTGAGCGCTACTGTAGCTCAAAGAGTGGTGTTTGAAGTTCGGTCCTGTCCGGGCATACCAATGCCGTAGCGCCAGTTCTTCCGACTACCAAAATGTGAGGCGCCTTGCAAATCTCAGTCGTTTCAAACAAATATGTACTTTTGGGGTAAAATCGGTCGGGATCCATGCTTTGGAATTACTTCCATCTTCATCTGTTGATGTATCTCGAGTCGTGTGCTTAATTCATGTTACCGTCTCAGATAATAGCCATATAAAATGAACCTCGTATCAGATTTCTATGATTCATTCAATCCTTCAATTTGCAAGGGTTCAATAATCGAGTATGCATGTTGATAGTAAACATGTCTCAGCCTCAGTATTTAGTAGTATTGAGTTTATGTTTCTGTTACGACTCCAAAAACTCGTGTTCTCATGAAGGAAAGGTGGAAACTATTGTATAATGGGTAATTTCGTTTACTCAGACATGCTGCCAAAATTTCGGGTCCAGAGCTCGATAAGGCGATGATCAAGACTCTCAACGTGTGGAGGGACAGACAGATCTACAGTGAAGAACAATTGGCCACGTAGGTCTTCGGAGTTTGTTATGTTTTGGTCATTAGGCCGTGTACTTACTGAGCTTGAAAAATGAAAAATAAATAAATAGAATGCGGTGCCCTCTGTAAGTCGGTCTAGTTCTGAACTCATTCTTTCGAAAGCCACTAAGTTTTGGTTTGATACTGCTGTCGAAGGTATTCAGTTTTTGATTGCTTCGGTTTTTTTTCATCACCTTCCATGGCCATATCAACCAAGTGATGTTATATAATCTTCAAGACTCTCTAATCCACCCGTTTTAGCCTCGACGCAGTGGTGAAACGACGAAAATCGATTGCTGCTAATAGCATCGTTCATTCCCACGTTCATGCTCCTCACATTCCCGAGCTTTTCTCATCATCGGTCAGATATGTGTTTTCTTTTTCGACCTGTTTGATATAATTAGCTTCTCGCTCTACGAAAGTCCACGTTTATTTCCTAATTTTCCCATCCGTTCCATTTGTTACGGACTGTGAATTATAAACAGTAATGAGTGATGGTGACGGACCTTTCCCGTAGCCGAGGTAACACTAGTAATTGAGTGACTCCGATTTTCTGCTGGAATCCTGCTATTATGTCCCGCAGGTCTCACACATTCCCTTAGAGGTCAGAAATTAATTTGTTCGGGGGTGGAATCGTTGAAAGGGGTTTGTTAACAGGCATTGCCCTTGTATAACGTCGTTTCTGAACCTCTTTTCGGCATGGTAATGCTACGTTTTTATCCTCATGGTAGGAGCTTTAAAGGAGCTCATATTGTGAAGCTATGCTTTCGCAGACTTTGTTCATAAGTTTCCCAGCGAAGAAAGTAATGTTTGTCCATGATAAAGATAAAACATCTTGTTTTTCCAGGCTGCCCCGCCGGCTCCACCACCGGAATTCGACTCAGAAGCAGTTAGCACTAATGTCACAGACGTATTAGAGTCATTACGCAAACTGGATTATCCTCCTAGTGCAGACGCTGAAGTTAGGTTCGTGTGATCTTCCAAAAATTTACTACAAGTGTCGCTAAGCTTTCCTATATTAATGTTCAGGCATAAAATTGCTTCCTACTCTGAAATGATTGCAACACCGCAATCACTTGACACCATCAAGAACAGCGCACAAGCTAAAAAATTACTGGATGAAATTGCGGAAGCTGAGCCGCTTGTGAAGGATTACTGTCAAAGGTACACACACCCTATCTTGCCTGGCTTCCAAATTGTTTGTCTCGTTCGTTTTGGTCGGCATTTTCACTTTTGTGGATGTGCATTACATGCTAACCCGGGCTTCCTTTATTACTCGACCTTTTAAGCTTTGCAATTTCAGGCTAGCGGACGAAATGCTTGAACGGCGAAACTTGCAAAAACTGTTTGATGATATGATCACCAATGTTCGAGCGACGGTGGATCTCCACGAAGGATTACTGAAGGAGGTTAGAAGGAAGGAAGATCGGGCTCGCAGTGATCTCGCCGAAGTTAGTCTTTTATTAAATTTTGATCCACTTGACTCATTATTTTCTGTAAAAATGTTTAAGGAGAAATTTTTGACCTTATTGCACTTTCACTTTATGTTTGATGTTTATTGAAAGCGATTTGAAAAGAATCATGTTGGGAGATGGTAGGGGGCTGTTTCAATTATAGGGGCTATAGTTATCACAAAACACTACTTGTTGAAAAATTTCTTTGAAGACTTTGAAAGCAAATGTTCAGACAGTATGGACGTCGTAGTAGGTATTCATTTAGTCGCTGTGCTTATTACATCTCTGAAAAGTTTTTTATTTTCTTTTATTTCTTCATATTATCTTCAGATCAGAAAGGCGTTCGATTCACTCCCAGATCTTACTGAAGTGACCGAAGATGCCCCTCTACCAACTCTAGAAAACCTCTTTGATCTCTAATCCTTTTTGGAGCAAGGTCCCAATTATGAACATAGAAAATGCTCTTGCGGAGTGTTGTGACCATTTATTTCTACTTAGTGGCGTAGTTATATATGAGTAGTATTTCCTAAAGGCGGGTTTTGTTTTGATTTCAACTTCATTCGTTCATTCTAATGCATATAACTACCTTTGCTTTTGTTGTGTACATATAAGTGAGTTACGCGATCTTCATACAGTGAATGCTGAAGCTGTATAGTTTATTGTTACTACTTCTCGGAACTGTACTGCCAATTGTATACCTTTTATACCATCGTTGAGATAAAGTATTTATATTGACCCATCAGTGAGTTAGCTAATTCAGCAGTCCTGCTCTTCTCGAATATCTACTGTTGTTTTTGTGATATGTAGCTTTTATTTGCTCTAATTGCAATTTAAACTTATCCAGGTTTCATGGGGATTGTGGAAAAGATCGCGGAGGTGGAGCGAGAAATCGCCAGAACTCAGAAAAATAAGGCCACCGAATACCATCTCGGTTTGCTTAAGGTGCCACACTTATACTATCAGAAGCAAAGTTATTCATCTTTTTCTGGAGTGTAATAGAGTCATTTTCTAGGCAAAGCTTGCCAAATACCGCCAGCAACTCTTGGAACCAGTTGGTGGGAAAGGTGGATCCAAGGGAGATGGGTTTGATGTGATGAAAAGTGGAGATGCACGGGTTGCAATGGTGAGCTAGTCATTTTTTTCTATTAGACTTGTTTGTTGAATAGCCTTTATTTGCAGGTTGGCTTCCCATCCGTTGGAAAGTCAACGCTTCTGTCAACAATGACAAGTACACACTCGGAAGTTGCTGGATATGAATTCACGACGCTAACATGTATACCTGGAGTTATAAATTATCAAGGAGCTAACATTCAACTTCTCGATTTACCTGGAATTATTGAGGGTGCATCGCAGGGAAAAGGTTTGTGGTCGATGGTAATTGTACCACTACTCACTTGATCATTTTCAGACAGGGTTCGATAGGTTGTTATTCTTTATGACCCCTTTCCCTTTTTGCGCCGCATAAATATTATCCCCTATCCCCATATAAACGAGCCCGACCCAAAAAACCGAGCTAAGCCTGCGTGGGTAGAGTAAAGGTGCTTCGGATATCGATGTGTTCTTCACGTTTCTTCGTACTCAACAGAATAACAATAATTGCTGGTTAACTAATGCATGAACAATTAGTTTTTTTGTTTGTTTTACCGTTCTCGTCAGTACGCAATGCTGAATTAAGGTCGTGGACGACAGGTTATTGCTGTTGCTAAAACTGCCGATATGATATTGATGATGCTGGATGCTGGAAAGTCTGATCAGCAGCGGCCTCTTTTGGAAAGAGAATTGGAATCTGTTGGCATTCGGTTGAATAAGCGACCACCTCATATTTACGTTAAACAGAAAAAGGTTTGTTGCTCTCAAAAAAGTCGAGACCACGGTTTAATAAAGGTCCTATAATTTAGATTGGTGGCGTCAAGTTCACTCATACTGTACCTTTAACGCATTGCAATGAAAAAATGATAATGACGATTTTGCACGAGTATAAAATCTTCAATGCTGATGTGGTATTCCGGGAAGATGCAACGTATGTCTTTACGTCTTTCGTGTCGTTTAAGTAAATAATTTTCTCATTTCTAGCTCTTGTTGTGGGTGACTGAACGAAAAACTCTACGGTATGTAAATACTGTCTGTAGTTCATTCCACAGAAGCTCTCTACCTCCCTCTTTCTCAAATCCTTTCCTTGGAAACATCTTGAAACTTTGGTTCTAGACGCGCAATGCGCATTTCCATGCATAATAGATTCGGAAGTGATCTACTCACACCTTCTAATAGTGTGAGCAGTCAAGAACCTCTTCCTGCTGTGCCGCGCTACGTTTTAATTCTGCGAAGCGTTTTAGCCGAAGGGGCAACTATCTTGTAATCGTAGGGCAGCAGCGATGAAAAGTCATCATGAAAAGTTTAACGGACCGCTTTTTGATTGTGGTATTAGGGGTTTACGAACAAAGCTTTAAAAAACCAGGGTAATCTAAAAAACAACGCATGACGACCTCTTTTCACCATGATTAATATAGCCACGCTGTTAACCATTTTCTGCCCTGGCAACTATTTCCACAAAGTTTAAATTTAGGCTTTGTTTCTTTATTTATCCGCTCTCTTAACTTCTATTTTTTAGCGTCGACGAATTTATTGACGTAATTCAGGGAAATCGTGTTTACATAGCTTGTCTCTATGTATACAATAAGATTGACCAAATCTCAATCGAAGAGGTCGATCGATTGGCAAGGTGTGTTTATTTGACATCAAATTCGATGATTTATTATTTCCTCGCTTTTTTCTGATTGACTTGTTCGAAAACTTCAATAGACGCGTTAACGAGGTTGAAATGAAAGTCAGTTGGCACCATCAGTGAAGCAGCATCAACCAAATTAATTCATGGATGAAAATTTGAAGATATTTTTTTTTNGGGGGGGGGGTCGATCGGTCTCGTCTTGTACGGGTCATTCGACTTTCAGTTGCGTCTGAAGTGTCGTTTGAATAGGTAGGTGACTAGGCAATGAGATGCAACGGCCGCCTATCTGAATATCAGTGCTTTTATACTGACGGGCGAGTATAGTACATAATAGCCGACCCTGGAGCGAGTATCGAGAATGCCTGAGCGGCTGAGCTTTGCCCATGAGAGCCTTGACCCATCCGTAAAGTATATACTTATTTGTTATTTATTTGTAGATCTTTAGAAGAATTTCACTACTTCTCTGTTTAATCTCTTCAGATAATTTCTCAGGTTGCCACACCATGTTGTGATATCCTGTGAAATGAATCTAAATATGGATTACTTGTTGGAAAAGATGTGGGAGTACTTGGCGCTTGTTCGTGTCTACACTAAGAAACCAGGTCATGCACCTGATCTAGGTGAGCATTTGGTGACTTCTTTCTCTGCTGTAACATTCGTCTACAAGTCGATATTAAAGGCATGAATAATCAAAGCCATTTTTCCTTCACTTAAGACTAGTCACTTTGTGAGCACTTTATAGAGCTAGCGTAATTTGGAAGCTTTGTTCTGACAGTACGGTGAGCAATATCGCTATTGATTTCATTTGCCCGGATGACTCACGTTCATCACTCTCAGCACTATCTAAAAGGAGCTCTTCCCGCCGACTGAAGCGCCGTTCACGAGGATCGAGTTGCCCGTCTTGGTTGGCTTGATGTGTGTGTGTTTATTTGCCTTTCAGCGCTAGTTTGAGTGAAAGGGCAGCAGTGCTTGTGCTACGGCATAAATGGGTCGGGTTTCCTTATGTGTTCAATAAATTCTAGCGGTTTGCATGCTCGCAGTCACAGAAGGATGATCTTCTGCATTTGATATGTTAGCGAAGAGTTTTACTCCCAATTACTGGGCTCACCAGTGTTTTCAGTATATTAGAGCAACCAGGCTGAAGTTTTTTGACCCATTGACGGCCCTGCAGTCCACAGGTGGACTACAGTTGTATATTTTGTTTTATTTATTTACTTTTCCTATTTACCGATCTCTCTCATCAAAACACAAAATCAGGCCTGACCGAAATTATATACTGCGTGGTCTTAGGACTAGGATTCGGACTTAGGTGTGGCATTCATTATTCCTGTTTATCCCTGTATCGGTATCGGTCTGTGCTGGTGCTTATGGCACCTCCCAATAGCGGGTTCTTCGTCTTTCAAACAAGTTCTATTTGTTCGTAGTAAAATAGTGGTGTTTCAGAATAGCGTATTTTAATGTAACGTTCAGTCCCAATTCCTTGGGAAGAAAGAACATCAAGTACAATTGTTTTGAAATCTCTGCCAGTAATCAGTTGAGAATTCTCATTAGTTTCCTATTTTCAGGTCCCGAAGACGGAATTATTTTACGAGCCGGGTGCACTGTGGAGCATTGTTGTCATGCGCTTCATCGGACATTAGCAAGCCAATTTCGATATGCAATCGTATGGGGAACGAGTACCAAATTTTCTCCGCAAAGGGTTGGAATTCATCATAAGTTGGACCACGAAGATGTGATACAAATAGTAAAGAAGTGAAGAATGCCATCGATACGGGAACTTATGCTATGCTAGATTATTTATGTAACCTGTTAGGTTTGAGGGGGCAAGAGTATTCTATTGAACTNATTCATCATAAGTTGGACCACGAAGATGTGATACAAATAGTAAAGAAGTGAAGAATGCCATCGATACGGGAACTTATGCTATGCTAGAGTATTTATGTAACCTGTTAGGTTTGTGGGGGCAAGAGTATTCTATTGAACTGCGATATTTGTTATCGAGTGATGCTGCATCTGTTGATTTTTACTGATTAAAGCGATTCGTTTGCTGTTTTGGCTGTCTATTCATTACTTGTTGATTTCACATCGTATTTCCAGTTCATCGATTCAATGGATTCTATATGTGTTAAGCGTATTCAGGAACACCTACCCGTTTATGTTTTCAGAAACGGTGCAGGAATGATGTAAATACATCAAGCAATGATGTGGATCTTGATAGCGGTCTACGCTGTAACTCTCCAGGGGCTGTGTCAAGCACTTGGAGAAGGAGAGGTGTGATTTTCGAAATTTTTTGCAGTGTTTCGAGATTTAGCTATAGAGATAGAAATGCTTTAAATTTTGGATGTTGAGGGATATAGAATTGCTCAGGTAATCATTGCTCGTTTCAGGTCATTTTGACAGTCTCAAAGGCCGCTCTGGATCGTGAACGGTTAGGCGTTGACCCATGTACTCAGGAGATGGATGACCAATATCCAATGGGTCCTTTGGTACCTTGCTCCTTCTTACCAGACGAGTTCATAGAATGTAACACGCCGGAACTTCTTCCTCCTGCCCACAACGATACGCTGGTAAAGTTGCATGTTTTGTTATCACATGATCTCATTTCCACTCTGTCATGAACATAACATTGACGGAGATGCTATTTCACACGTTTTTTAGTTGTTTACTTTTTTAGTGATTTGTCGTTTACGTTCAGTAAGTATTGATTTGCAGGACGCTGGATTCTGCTCGAGATTTGGAGGTCAGAGAGCTGAAGATGTGGAGTGGACCTGGGTAGCCTGTAGAGCTTTACCTTGCATTGAATGTCGTGGGAGGCGACATTTTTTCAAGAGGACACCGTGTATCAAGTGAGTCCACTGTGCTTGAAGGTGTCAGGGTGGCTGGCTCGTGTAATATTCTCGATTTTCTCATCACTCTTGCACCTATCAAACTTTCCACGACCTTTTAAACAACAAGGGAAGTGCGAGACAATTTACCCAAGTTTTCGTTGCATTCTTACGTTGTATTTATTCCTTAAAATTTCTTATGTCAAATTTCCTAAGTTAAAATTGCTCTGAATTTCGATGCTTTATGGATCACGTTCAGGTACACTGGTCATTACTTCCTTTCCACATTGCTATACTCCATTTTCCTCGGTGTGGTAGCAGTGGATCGATTTTGTCTCGGCTACTCAGCTATAGCTGTTGGAAAACTGATGACTCTTGGAGGGCTTGGGGTGTGGTGGATCATCGACATCTTTCTGCTAGTCACAGGAAATCTAACTCCAGCGGACGATTCCAATTGGGAGCCTTATTACTGAACCTTTCTGTCCCACTCAAATTTAATCCTGTAATTATTCTTCAAGTGTATGTATTAATTCCAGTTTGAACTTTGTTTTTGTTTTTTGTATTCTCCCAAATCGACAGCAGTCATAACTGCATTTTATCATTTCTGAAGTCTATAGGTCCGGCACATGTATTTTGAAATGGGTCTCGGGTTTGCACAATTATTTCGAGGGAGGTTGGATCTTTTCCTACCACGATTTTTTTTTCTGAAAGGATTTTGTGTTTTGCTTCACGACTGATATGTGAATTTGTACGATTTTGTTGTTACTCTGTGATAATCCGTATTTTCATGCGTGATTCCTCCTGAAAAAGGGAAGTTATGAAATAAACTTTCTGTGGAGCCACCTATTACAAAAATCAAGGCTTTTTACCATAATATCTAACAGTCTAGTTTATTGATCGCCACGATGTTTTTTCTCTCACGTTTAGAATGCTCGTCTGACGGATATCTGACCGAAATGATTGGAGGACTGTTTCTTTACAACCATAAGGTAAAGTACATTTGTAATCATTTCTTATTATTACACTGTTTCTGACGGAAGTACTCATACTGCTGCATGATTCTTATTGTGTTCAGGGCGAAGTACTGATTTGTCGTATCTTCCGTGACGACATAACTAGGGATGCTGTGAATGCTTTCCGCGTCAGTGTCATACATGCTAGGCAACAGGTAGACTTTGTCTTGCATTTCTTATGAATAGGATTTCTCAATTTTTCACCTGACATGCTACGTCTCAGTTTCGTTACCCATAGTGAAGATCGAATGAATCTTTTAAAAAAAAGTAAAAGTTTCTTTTTTAATCACTAATTAATCACACTCGCCGGAATTTGTATTGCATTGTGCATTAATTATAATATATAGTGAGAATTTCGAAAAAATTCAGCACCAGGTTTACATTGGAACCAGGCGGTAATTTCGAGTGGGAGTGACCTACTTCCGATGATACTTATGATGTTAAGAGCAGGAGTGTTGTAATGGCATGTAGTGCACACTATCACATGCATGGTCCTGCGGTCGAGTCTCGTATCGATGCCCGCGTAGGCCAACACAAGGCTAAATTTTCAGGATTTTTTCGAATTTTGATGATTTTTTGCATCTAGGTAAATTTCTTGATGCCACTATTGTATACTTCCTAAGTAACACATTTCTATCCTATTAGCTCAAGGTTTTTGTTCTTCCTATGAATGCTTAGATAGATACGGGATGAGGACGTACACAGGCAGAAAAAGCCGATTAGCTCTATTAATTTATGCGTTACTTATACCCATGACGGTTAATTTTTCACTCGTATTCGAGAAAAGAATGAAACTAGACGAGAAGAAGAGCGGGCGAATTATTTCTTTTTTTAACAGGTTAGATCCCCTATCGTCCTCATAGGCAGGACGTCGTTTCTTCATCGAAGATGCGGTACAGTATGGATGGCAGCCGCTACGCGTATGGACTCGAATGCTGCTGCTATCTTCGAGGTGAATTGAATCTGAATAATTAATCCGAAATACTAAACTAAAGCTTGCACAATTCGCACCAAGTTGACTTCGCAAGATTTTGAGTCTGCTCCCATTTTTAGGTTGAACTGATCAGAAATGTTCTATTATTCTCGGAAGTTTTGCTTACTGAAGATTGACTGTTTGTCTATGTCCATGTCTATTATGTTTTATTTTTTTTTTCTCGTTACCATGAAGAGGAGTCTGAGTGCACATCAAAGCGTTGTTTTTTAGATTCTACAGAGATTAGCCACAACAATGACGGACTACTTTGGGAAAATCACGGAGGTACTGATTTTTATTTGTACAACCTCAGATATCATCGCTTCGGTGCTTGTAACATTCGCCTTTGTGCCTTTTCCGCACTGCTGAACAAAATTGCACGAACCAGAGGAAGAAAATGTGCTTTGCTGGATGTAATGCTTTCAGGATAGCATTCGCTCCAACTTTGTCCTGATCTACGAAATACTTGATGAACTAATTGATTTTGGCTATCCTCAAATGACAGATGCTACCGTACTAAAGACTTATATAACACAAGCAGGAGTCCGCGGTGTAACAAAAGAGGAGCAGCAACAAATTACTAGTCAAGTGAGGTTTCCAAGTAGTTGTTAAGTGAAACTCAAATCTGGACTGTTTTGTCTTAAGGTCACTGGTCAAATAAGTTGGCGGCGCGAAGGGATAAAATATCGTCGTAATGAGCTTTTCATTGACGTCGTGGAATGTGTCAACCTGTTGATGAATCAGAAAGGTACTTGACGTTTTCGCTGTGCTGTCCCTTACTTCCTACAGTAAAAAATAATCTCCCTTACTTTCAGGGCAAGTTCTATCAGCTAACGTTGCAGGGAAAGTTCTGATGAAATGCTTTTTATCAGGAATGCCAGAATGTAAATTCGGTATCAACGATAAAATCACTCTGCAACAATCCAGCAGTCGAAATCAGACGGACGATGCTACAAAATCGTAGGACCGTTACTGATTATTAGTACTAATATGGATACCAATCGCTTGATAGATTTTGCTGGCTTAGCTCTCTATAGCTCCGGAATTCCTGGTTTCTCATGGTAATTATTGTGTGGGTTATGACGCTCCTATATCCCTTTATGCCCTTGATCGAAATGTTCAAATAATATGAGTGATGAAGCTGCTAGGTATACCTTAAAGGGCAACTCACTCAACCGCTGTTTCTAGTAGCAGAGGCTGTGGAAAGGTGAGCGTAGCGTATTCAAAGCTTCCCCTGGTATTTTTTCGCTATGGGTGGTTCCGTATGTTAGACCTATGTCGGAAGATGGTTTTTCCATTTGTACGCCTTTGCATCCCAGTGGGCGATTCAAGGTATACCCGTGTACTTCAGGATAATGTCCATGAGTGCTAACGCTGAAGTAAATTGGGCTTTCTTCATTGTAAAAGTTCGGCCGATTACGTTGAGTTCCAAGCCCTATGTAGGCCCACTTGGGTCAATGAGTGGGATCTAGAATGTTCCTAAGATGTATTTATTTTTGGTTGAGCGGTTTCTGAGAGCATAGGCTTCTCTTCGTGCATCTACATTCTGAGTTTCCTACATTCAGAGCCCGAACTGTAGTTGCGATTGACGACATTCAATTCCATCAGTGTGTCCGTCTTGGAAAATTTGAGACTGACCGAGCCATTTCTTTCGTGCCTCCAGATGGTACATGTGAATTAATCAAGTACCGCACAACTCAGGATATTAAACTGCCTTTTCAGTTAGTGAAGTTCTTGATATTGCTGTGCAGGAGATGATGATTTCCGAGTTCTGTCAAAAATCCACCTGTTTTCTTCCTTTTCAGTGTGATTCCTTTGGTCAGGGAAGTTTCCAAGTCGAAGCTTGAATTGAAGGTTGTCCTCAAAGCTGAGTATAAGCAAAACCTTGTTGGACAAAAGATTGAAGTAAGTAAGGAAGTTTGGTACCTTATAATACTCGTACATACCTACTTATCTGCAAGTGAACTACGATTTTTGCTTGTGTAATGGTTCAAGCGCTTTTCCGTCAGCATTGTCTTGTACTACCCACCCTCAATCTCGCGTAGTAGCCTTATATTCAGCCTTGTTTCTAACTACCCGATTTAGGTGTTTAGCGAATGCGATGATTGGCTATAAGGTGGAAAACTTTCTCAAATATCCAGAAAAAGGACGAAATCGTGTGATGATTATAGTAGTACACTTCAGCTTGATTTTAAGGTGCGTATTCCCACACCACCGAACACCTGCGGAGCCACTTTACTGTGTATGAAAGGAAAAGCCAAATACAAGCCAGGTGAAAATGCTATAGTGTGGAAGGTGAGTAGTTTGTACTTTGAACCAGTCATGATGTTCAGTTAGGAATGAGTAAGGATGTGAGGCGATCAGCGTGGATCAATCTCGTGGATCAATCGTTTTTTCTCAGCTTAGACTCAACTTGTGTTCAAAAGTGTTCGAGTACATTCTTGTCCAAAATTTTGGCGTGATGGCAGAACCGGGCCTCAAGACGAGGGAACGATGAGAAAAACGCTTTCCTTTTCGATATCTAAGAAAAGATATCTAACGATCGCTGGCCAACCTTGCGTCAGTATGAGCCATTTCCATTGTGCATGAATTTGGTCATGAAGGTTTCTTTGCGATCATCAATTATATTTTATGAATCTTCTATGGTTCAGATAAAGCGATTAGCTGGTGGGAAGAAGGTGCAGATTTCTGCGGATGTGGATCTTCTGACGATTGGAGTTCAGGTAGGCTCATCTTGATTTATGGATTACGTTGAGCTGTTTTCAAGTTGCCAAGATATTATAGGCTTCGAAACGTTGGGACCGTCCACCAGTCAGTGTTAATTTTGAAGTGCCTTTTGCTCCAAGTGGCTTCAAAGTGAGTCCACTCCCAGGTTTACCCACAGTCGATAAGGCTGGTTTTGAAATTATGTTTGTGTTTCAAAATGGAATTACCTTCCTGTTTAGGTTCGATACCTGAAAGTATTTGAATCTAAGCTGAATTATTCCGATCATGACGTTATCAAGTGGGTGCGCTATATGGGAAGATCTGGTATCTATGAAACACGTTGCTAACACAAATGTGAAAGAGAGTGGCGGTAAACCATAATAACCGATGGTGCTCATCACCAAGATTCGCAATCAGAAGCAAAGTAATCCTACTTCCATTGTCTACAGGTGATAAGGTTTCATTTTGATCCGCATAGATGGAAAATCATGCTCTACTTACCTGACTTATGGCTTTTATTTATTTACTGTGCATTTTCATGAGCTCTTATTTATTTTGTGATAGCTTTCTACTACTGATAATGCTCTTATTAACATTGTCACTGTGATATGCATATCCGTAAGTTGTGAAAATAAATCAGTCCAATCAAATAAAGGGAGAAGGTTTTTCGCAGCAATCAAACATTCGAATCAGCGATGCTACTTTTAACTTTCCATGTGCTCTCTAACCATCTCAAAATAAAAAGGCCCTAACTCGGCATGAACAGGAATCACACACGTGCATGAAATCAACAAAAAGTTGAGATAAATCTGTCAATTCGGAGGAAGGCCGCGGCAGTGCCTACCATCGGAACCGTTTTGCATGTTGCGATAGTTGTTCGATCGTGATATCCTCGAAATTACTGTCAAAAAATTCAATTTCATCTTAACAGTGATCATTCGCGCCGTGATAGATTATTTGTGTAGAGATGGTGTAGTGGCAAGTGGCGCACTGTCTACGCGCACGGTCACAGTTTCAAATCCCTGATCGATATCCGCTTAAGCCAACCGAGCCTTCCATCTCTCTCTGGGGTCGGAAAACTGGTACTAAACTCGTTTTGAAAGTGCTGACTCGTACATCTTCTGGCCACTGCAAGTCATTGTACAGACCTTATACACGCTAGTACGATTCTGAATGAAAGTCGAGTGCGGGGCGCAGCTCTCAGACAGGATTGATTACGCCTAAAGACATAAAGCTTCATCCTTTTTGGGTAATTCATACGGTTTTTTCATCGTATTGAGACGAAACCACTTCTTCCTTTTCATTCAAAAAAATGGCAGCTTTTCATGTGCAAAAGAACTATGCAATCACTTTGGGAACGTGATGCAAAAGTAGGGATTTTGTACCATCCGACAAACCTGATGCCATAGAATTGGTTCCAGAAAGCCTAAGCAAGTAACAGTCCTGGTTTTGGTTTCCTGATCGCCCCTAGAGGACTGCTTGGTGTCATCGTATCACGTATACCTTTTGTTGGGGCTTCTTCCAAGGTATGGTATCTAGATACGATGGTTTTCCAGTGTTTTCTGAACTCTTTTCTTTTCTAGCCATCTTTGGGACGTGAGGTGGAAAGAGTTCACATGCTCTGCTCTTTAGCGGCCGAAGAACAAAAGGATTTCGCGAATTTCGAGACATCAAAGATTAAGTGAGTCGGACTGCTTCCCGACGAGCGATCTCACAACTCGCGCTGTCATTGAATAAGTCCAGCCCATAGCGGAGGGTCCGTAAAATCGCAACTTGACGCGGAGGTCTTCGCACGTTTGAAACACTTTCATGTTCCAATTTTCAACGAAAGCGGAGAAGTGTAAGTTGTTTTACTGGGAGGACAGGGTTTGGAAGCTCCGACTCGGATTTTTCCTAGCAAGATAACATAAAGGCGTCTATTCCTTCCACTAGAGAGCCACATCAGCCTTGTGGTTACGTTCCATCATCTCATTGAAAAAATGTAAGAAAGTATAATGATCAATTGTTGTCGATGATGATAATATTCTTTCCGACTAGTCTCTCAGGCATGTTTTCTGCCTCTGTTCAATTTTCCAGAGACACAAGTAACGCATGCACTGCAGGCGGGGAAGGGAGGTGGGGACCAAGGATCAAGTCAGTCATTATACTTTTCTCAAACAGGTAGAGCTTTTGAAGCGTAAGCAAGAACCAATTCACAAACGCTGGCGGTGTGACAGCTACTGTCGCTTCGAAGAAGGAGAGTTGCTTGATCCTCGCTTGTCAGAGATAGTTACAAAGATGTGCCAGGAAGTTCTCAGATTTTTCAGAGTTTTGCTCTTCGGGCAGACTCGAAGGGTTCGAAGGGTGTAGGGCACCTACTGTGCACAGGAGAAAAAAGGGGATGTCCCCTTCCTAAAAATAAATTTGAGCGTATGTAGACGTATATGCATTTGTGCCCGTGTATTGAGGCAAATTTCATTAATCAGCTGCATCTTCCTCCGTGGGCAATCCAATTACTCACCACACGTTTTAGAGATGTTCTCGTCGTGTACGTAATATGATTCACCTTTGGTCAGAGGGCCCTCTTACATGTCCCAAAATATCACAAAAATGAGATTTCTTACTCATCAGGATACACAAAGTTATCCATTGCAAGGTAGCATATTTAGCCGAAGCTGGAAGAGAGCTTTCAATGATTCTAGCCAATTTGGTGGATATGTTTTTGACATGATTAATCCCCTCTTTTGGGATGCGCCCTGCATTCGGCTTTTATTCGAAACCGCCGTGACGTTTTGAATGTGTATGTGGCTAATGCAATGATTTGGGGTGAACAACCGATGTTCATGTCAGCACTTTCATCCTTCCAGACGAATATAATACCAATAAACCGATTCCTAGGGGTTGAAAGGCTTCGTTGGCTTGGGGGATATCAATCGGGTTTTGATCCCCGAGTCATGCGTGTGGGATAGATAGTGAGCTACTTGGCACTATACCTCTTTCTACGTTCTTGATGTAATAACGGCTGAAAATTGGTGAACTTCACGCTTAATCCGAATGTCGATGAACAGGTTCCCTCGTCCCTTGTAAGACTCTTCGAAACACTTTTGAGCTTCTCAATTGTAAATTGTCTTTTTTCTCCTAGATCGAAAATACAAGCACGGCTTGGATAAATTTGTCGAAGTGCATCATCGGTTCCGCCCTTCCTATGGAATTGAAGGGATGTCTGAAGGGTGTAATGGCTTGTGACTGTTACTAATTGATCTGGTCTCTTTTTGCTTGGTCTCAAGGTTCGGTTTGAATTTCAACCCACTTAACCTTCGCTCGAAATAGAAAACATGACGCAAGGAAGTATCACGATTTCTTGAATGCACTTATAATTTGGCCTACTGTCGAAGCAGGGGGAATGCATGCATGTGTGGGAGGTTCCTCTCTGGGATGTGAATGACGCGTTCGATTTACATTTGGAATCTTTAAGTAGTTTTAGGACTCTTTGCGTTTGATGAAGTTGGTTAAATAAAGCGCGAGGACTTGTAAATATATTAGTCACAGCTTTTTATTCATCCAAGTTGAGCAGCCGACAGAGATTGGAATCTGGGTAAACTGAGAGGGTCTCGATCGTTCAGCTGGGCAAGGGTGATGCAATGCCTGTAGTCAACACGGAGTTAGTGGTCCCGTAAAAAAGTCTAACTAAGATGTGCAAGAATGTTCTGAGAGCTCATTCACATGGCGTAAGCCTATAGAACTCCCGCAGGGTGAAGTGCTCCCAGACCATTAACTCTGGGTTGTTTGAACAAATATATGAATCAAATGCGTTTGCGAACGTGATGAATTGAGCTTGGGTATACCTTGTGGTGTGGATTACGTCACAGTACCGCATAGTAGTATCGCTGGCCTCTATGTACTTTCTAACGTGCATACAAAGCATAATACTATTGAATTAGTAGAGGATATACGGAGCTGCCCAAACAAGCCCACGTGGTGTACTGTTTATACACATAATGCAAAAACACGGGTTTAAAGCTCTATTAAAACGTGACATGGAATGAGCTGTTGCTTCAACTTCTGAAATGTTCGGTGGAAGAGTTTCCTGTGCTCTTTCCTTTTAGTAACTTCCTTCCCCTTTAGCTGGTGTCGCCTTTTTTGAGTAGTTTTTTTTCTATTTTACTTCATGAAATACTCTATTTATTTATTTAATCATAAATTCTATTTTTTTTTGTTCCTATGGAATATTTTCGACAGTTTACATTTTTCCAGCACTCATTATATTCTGCCTAAAGAGGGGATCTAGGGATTAGTTATGGATACTTTTCGCGGGAGTGAAACTGTCTTGTGGCTGACTTTCTGAGTGAATATTCCTTCGGATATGGGATACACATGGCTAGATTTTCAGCCCAGTAAGTAGGTCATAGTAATGGACAACAATGCTTCCAACAGCTCCTACAACTCAGGCTAAAAAATAGAGCACCCATGAAGTCATCAGGGGTTGATCAGTTCCTTTTTTGTTTCGCACCTCTTCGCCTTCTGTTCAAAATCGTAGCGGCGATTTGAATGTGTATGTGATCCATACACTGGCCGACGGTGGCCACTGATGCTCAGTGCTTTTATCCCTCCAGACAGGTCTGCTACCGATTAATCGGCCCCGGAGGGCCTGGATATATACCAGGCACTATTTGGTTATAGTAGACCGAATGTTCGAAATAATCTGAAGAGTTGTTGTTCCAGTTGTACCTCACTGCTTCCTCATTACGAAGATCTCCATAACATACGCCACACTGAAATCAAATGAAGGTCAGTGAATCGAAAAGGGTTCTATCTGACGCAGCTGCAAAAGACGTCCCACTCTCTGAGCTGACGACAGGATTAACGTTACTGCAGTCAACTCTTTTTCCTGTTTGTTAAGAGTCACTTTGGTAAGGGTATCGTCGAGAATAGAAACACTGACTTGGCTTCAAACCAGTTCAAAACTTTTTGAAACCTTCAGTTCTGTGTGTTCTTGTACTTTCAGTGCGTAGATTACTTCGTCATCTTCACTGCAATGACTTTGCCATCTTTTTACATAACATCAAAGTAGGCATCTCGGTTGCTCAGTACCCTTTCCAGACTCTAGGCTAGCTCTTCATTGTCCTTCTGTGAGAATTCGAGCAAGTGCTAGTTGAAGAATTTTCGCCCACTGCTTCAAGATTTTATCGAGAAACATTCCTCGATAGCGATTGGCGTGAAGGTAGCGATATCTCCTAGTCACAAGGTGTAAGGTTAAGACTGCAAAGTGCTTTGGTATCATGTGCCGCTCATGCTTGGTCAATTTGTGCTGGGCTCCTGAAACAGGGGGTTCTTACGCTCACATGTGCCGTTTGTTGCACGTCCACACGTCTTGGATGTTTTTCCTTCATTGCTGCAGCCAGTTTTTCGACCTCTTGAGGGACTCAGAAGCCTCTGAAAGGCTTTCATACATGTTCGATCCGAAATTATGTTTTTTAAACGTTGATGTGGAAGACGTAGGTCCTGACAAAAAGAGCGGATATGTGGTATATAGGGCGGAGGTGGTGTCACACGCACGGTCAGGGGTTCGAATCCCGGATCGATGTCCGCCTAGGCCAACCAAGCCTTCCATCCCTCTGGGGTCGGTTAATTGGTACCAGACTTGTCTGGGAGGATAAAAGCACTGACTTGTACAGCGGCTGGCCACCGCAAGTCATTGTAAAGGCCACATACGCGCTCATTACGCCACTACGATTCTGAATGGAAGTCCAGTCGGGCGCATCCCTCAGACGGGATTGATTAACCCCAAAAACTTTATCCTTTAACTTTTATATGATATATATACGGAGAAGAGAGCTGAATGCAATGACAATCCAGTGGTAGCCTACATGGTATCTGACCTAGCCAAACTCCCCGGTCAAATAGAACAAATATCAGATCAATACCTAGAATTTCTCCCACCAAGGTCCGTAAAAGGGGAGTGTAATCGACTACAGTATACCGGAGGAACCTTCAAAATCGTTTCAGAAAGGGTGTATCGGAACTGTCAATGTTGCTTCAACGAATTTGTCACGGTGACTTTGCACTGAACAGAACCCTGGGAATTCGTGTCAACAAAATTCTTGGCGTTACAACGGGTTAACTTTATTTCATTGCTTCTGTAAACACCCTGTTGTGTTTTACACTCGAAACGCCGAAAGTAATAAGCAGCCAATGCTCAAGGACATTGGTTTTGTCAAGAAATAAGTGCAGCTGTCAGTGCCAAGATGAATTCCCTGATCACTTCATTACCATGCTTCGGTTGGAAATGCAAATCAAAATAAAGTGAATAAGTTTGAAGTTCGAAGTCTCTTAGCGTTGCGCCCCCCATTCGACTCCCCTTCAGCACCGTTACGGCTTGTTGAAGACGTTTTTGGTCTATACAATGAATTGCGTTGGCTAGTCGACGTTCAAGTCAGTGCTTTCATCCCCCCAGACAGGTCGGATACCAGTTAACCGACCCGGAGAGACGGAAAGCTTGATTCGTTTGGGCGGATATTGATCCAGGGATCGAACCTGTGACCAAACGTATGAGGCAGCACGCCAGCGCAACTTGAGACCAAACCACCGCCTAAGTGAAGAAGCACGGGTAAATGATTCGAAACAAGAAAAATAAGTGAATGAGAAAGACGAAAAAGCGTTCGTCCTACACAACATCCACGACTCCTTAGAATATCTCACCTTCTACATTGAACTAATGGTCTTTCTCCATTGTACTCCATTTGCCTATACCTTTCGATAATTATGTTGTATACTCTACCCTCTGTCTCTTCAGTATAGCCTTTATCCTCAGGAACATATGTCCTCGGTACATGTATCCTAGCTGTTTTGATTCCATCAAGATTTCTTTGATTTCTTTTTCTGAGTTTCGCTGTTATGTGGTCGGGCGTGATAGAACGGCGCCTGACTTTTAGTTTGGGGTGGAGTTTTCTGTTGCTGATAGACAGCTGTCAATGCGAGCATTGAGCAATCTCATGATTTCAGTACGTCAGCTCATTTGTTAGCCTTGGTAAAGGATGGTCGAAACGTCACTGTTTCACCTTACTTACAGATGGTACGTAATTCCATGATTGATGAGGAAGGGCTTGGTATATTTGGGCTAATGCTAGTCAATAAATGCTGCTCTGTGCTGCTGAACGAATTTTGCAGAAAAGGTTTTGTCCCATAGTCTTGGTTCCCCCTTATCGTCTAAAAAACTGGTCCGTTTCACCTTTCAAACTCTCTCGATTTCCTTCTGTCAACCGTGTGTGTTGCAAAGAAAACAAAGAGTTCATCGCATTTTCTCTCACGTAATTCTTACGGCAAATGAATGAAATGAAAATTGCACTCAACGTTCAGTAGTGTCGAGTACACTTTGGATCGTAACCCTTAGGTGTTTTTTGTAGGTCGCAGACTGGCGCCGATGTTTAATTGTAAGCTCTCACGTGGAGACCGTTCGTTATCGGTCACGTTTAATGTCATTTGCCGTCTACACAAACACTTTTACGTGTGCCGTGTCCTTTGTGTTAGTGTATCGCAACACTACTCCTCGACCTAATCCCTTTCGTCTAGCTCTTGACCCATTTCTCACACCCCTACCCTTTCTCCAATCCGACTTTTGGAACCAGGCTGTCCGTAATCTCCTACTCTACCAATCCATCCTACAACGTAAATTTCCCAAACCATCGCCTCAGCAAGCGTAGTAACGTGCGGTTCTAGGTGGTTACATGCCTTCATGACGTTCCCGTTCATCACCAAAGTGCCCCTGGTCAAATCAGAAATCCATCACCCTACTCTATGTTAAGGAGCCAGGACACTTCCTCTAATTTTAGAAGAGAGACACAATTCTGCTCTCCCGGCATCGGCTAGACCTTACAGGCGCCATTATCTCAAAATTAAAACCTCGAAGTTTCAAAAAACCTTTTAATGGATCAACTTCGCTTTGATTTGGGATGTGTTGCCTTCCCTGATCGTTGGTGTTTACTTGCAAGGGCGGGGTGCAGTTGATCGCTCTGAAAGCTCTATTCTTTTGGCTTTATGGTGTTTCTCTAGAAGTGGTTGTGGGGCAGTGCTGAGTGGCACACTAAAGCGTCCAGCCCTGGACCGAATCGTTAGGGAATGGGATGCTTCGTGGGTGAGTCATGTGTCAGCTCGGGGCTTCCATTCTGTACCAACTTGTCTACGGAAGGGGGGGGGGGGGGGGGGGGAGCAGGAGGTGTTCCACTACTCGCGCTTATCCCTGCAAGACTTCAGGTTCATAGGTCACATATGCGCTCAAATGCCATTGAGGTTTTACAAAATCATGAGTGTACCCCAAGACGGGGCCAGAAAGTTTACTATTCATCTTTCTATTACTTTGCTTTATGAGGTCTTTGTGCCATGGCAGGTGCATTCAGGCACGAAGTTGCTGCCATGAATTCCAATCAGGCTGCTGAGGTTTCCTTCAATGTAAACAGCCTTGAGAACCACTTTTTTGCGTGCAACCCAGCATAGACCTTAAATAGCTGCCCTACTGATATTGTAATACAATTTCATGGTTTTAGTCGTACGGGACATTACAAATGGATTCTCATCTCCATGATTTATAACACGTATTCAAGAGCATTGTTCTCTTCTTGAATTCTATTGTGGAGCTGGTTGGATCTCTAAGTCAGCCTTTAGAATCACTCTTTGACCCTGACCAAGGTACACCTACGGACATGCGGAGACCTAAAAATTGCATTTCTTAGTCTGCTCCTAATAAAGTATGAAAAAGTCCGAAAGTGAAAGTCTTTTTTACACGTCCGGCATAAAACTTGCCGGAGGCAATTGAAGCAAAAGCCACGCCCGAAAGGGCGTTGGTTATTCCTCAAGTGCAAGATTTTTTTCGTATTCTCGGAAGTTTCAAAGAGCCCGCCTAGGCGCCAGCGATCTTAAAAGCCACTTTACTTCCCATCAAGCATCTGCCTCTTTGTCTTTGTGATCAAATATTCTTGAAGACCTTTGTAGTATACTAGTGACGTGTTCTCTCTCGAGTACTCTGAGCCAACAGCAAAGTTCTCGAAGATGGCCAGTGCTTCAGCAGCACCCCGCAGAGTCAGACTTCCTGCTAGGATCCGCGAGCCGACATCGAGGCACTTGACCCCTACTCTTTTCATTTCTCGAGTAAATGTTGCATCAACTAGACAATCGTAGATATGATGAATTTATCTATCCTGTGCAAAGGTTGATCTTCTGACCGATCCCGTGGCATCGATGCTTTTTGCCACATTACACTTGAACTCCATTCGACCTTATGAATCAAAACCTATTCATTAACTCCTTTATCGTTTCCAAATATCATTAAAAGCAAAGTCGAGTTTCAGTACTTTCCTCACCAGTATTGTACTTCCTTGAGATGTAACTCATCCCATGCGCTCATTTGAATAGGAAAAAAAACTTTCAAGTATATGGGGAAACCGATCGCTGTATCATTACCATCATTATTATTGATTATTATGTGTTTGTAAAACTCAAGAATGTTAATGCATCGGCGCCAGGATGTACTTGATCAGACATTTTACGAAGCGGGTCTTTCTATGGCTGCTACCTCCAGATCTCCAGAAAAGAGGGGTAGGATTTCTTTTAGAAAGGTCTACGAGGTGTAGAGCTGGAATGAAGGAAGCTTTTCCGTGTCGGTGTAGGTTGCTCTCAAAGGACAACTGGCCGCGTACTTTACGCAGCCAATGGTGTTATGAAAACTATTAAGGCAAGCGTAATCAATAATATCCTTTCGTGTACTTCCATAGTGCTCTAGTTAGACTTCTTGGTAGAGAAATTTACATTTTTTCTATGCATGAGAGTATGTCTTAATATAGAGATTTTCTCAATTTGTCGTTGAATGCCTACAGGCTCTTTACATCTGGTCGTGCCTCTCTTTCCACATTGCCGATGGCTATCCATCGTTGAGCTTTTCGAACACATCCATATTCATGAGCTTATGGCAACATGCACCCTGGGTAAATTGTGCCATAAGCTCACGAATATCGATGGATGAGTTCAAAAACTCAAACGGCTTCTCACCGGTCCGGAAAAAGCTTGTGGGTGTCTTACACTGCCGGAATCAACTAACTCTGCCCTTCCCTACTTACTTCGCATTACCATCCATCCCATCAATGTCCTTCTTCTTCAGCTGATGACGTAATGAGTAAACTTTCGAATATTAAGCATCCATTTGCGGGGGACATTTCCTACTGCCTCTCCAGTCGAAAAAATGTAGATGTCTAAGATATCCAATTCCATCAGCATTTTCGGTTTCTCAATTGTTCCCTATTACTGCACAGTATGTCCACCGACTAGCTCGGCCCATAGTCCTCTATTGTCTCGAAGATCTCACAACCGTTTGCTCGACTCAATCCAGTAGTACATATTTGGACCCTTCTGAAGCTTACAAGTCAAAACATAAGCTACAGTCATCACTCCCATTCGATCTACTAAAAATCCCAGACGGGAGCTAGTTTACGGCGCTTTTTAGGCCTATTACTGATGGTTTACCAAGAAGGGCCAGATTCTCCCTAGCTTCGGAATGGTTTTTCACGTCATCGCAGTGAATTCGCCCTAAAAGCATTTGATTAATATTCTGATCTTTTGGAATGCGCCACGTCGTTTGCTTACGTTTCTTTGACGTCATCTATAATGCATGAGTACTTAAAAGGCAATGAATCAAATCACGTGTGAATCAATTTCTCGGGATTGCTCCATACATCCGTCTCGCACTCAAAATCAGATA